TGAGTCGGGTAATGGCCGATTATGACGCGAGGGTAGTGAAAGCCAAAATGAAGCTATCTCGCCGATGTCGCCTTATCATTGCACGATAGAATGCTGTTGACGAAGTTTAGGCGCCTTAATCTTGAATGTTTGTTTGGGGCGCCGAGGTTTTCTAGTAAGCCCCTCTTCTCTCCCTCTTAGTATTCTTCATTCCGTAGGTCGTTATGGTTGTATGGCAGCGAACCATCAGTTCAAATGGCTGAAGCACTGCTGTTGTTAATGATGATGATAATCGTTCGTACAAATGCAGTGTGTGGTCCTCTGCCTCTTTACACTGGCCTCGTCAGAGTTCTCCCACGAACTCCGAAGCATTTTATCTTAGACCATAATGGTCATCGAACAAAGGTGTCCATCGACCGTCTCATGATTGTATTCTTCGAAGACCCGCCTCCAACCTCATTTGGTAAAACTGCACAGCTACACCAACTCGCAGCAGCAGCCTCTGTAATAATAACCCTTAGACCTCTAAAAATGAAGTCTCAACCCATGGTAAATGACCGACGTGATAGACAGGTCAAACGTTCAATCCGCTTTTCAGAGCATGTTAACGTTTGCTATTTGTTATAAGGTGTATTTTTCCCCTTTTAGGGTAATTGCGTATGCAATTGACAAACGTTCTGAAAACGACAAAGAGTACAGGATTATTTGAAAAAGCTAAAACGTGTACTCTGTTTTTCTTTGTATACATGGCTTGGTTTCCATAAGGCGCCAAGCCGCCTGCCCTAATAACGTCCTACTCGCCACGAGTCTTACATAGCAGAATCCGAGTTACCGAAAAACCGCGGAGTCCTCTGACCCAATCGCCGGACGCCTCACGCGGTCACCATGGCTAAAAGTGACCGCCATTCTTGATTCTATATGATGAAAACAGCTAGTCCGGCACAAAAGGGCTTGACTAGGTATTTCCGAGGACGCCTGGAATTCTCTGTGGGAGTAGGAGTGTTTTGGCAGTGGACTAGGGTGCAGTGGGGTGAATGACACCTACCAAGCACACAGTCGTATTGACAGTGGAGAAAATGTCCTAACCGCCTTCTGCTGGATATGCCAGTATTCTAAAGTCCGACGAGCCCGCGCCGAGGGCCCATCGATGATGCACACCATTACATACCAATAGTAAATAACAAAAGGACTGGAGCCAGCGAACTTGTAATCTTCTGTGATGACTGCGCCCAGTGCATTTGCTACCAGACTGCTTTATCCTCATTTTATCTTCCATCTGACATATCTACGGAAGGACACCCTCACTTAGCCTTCTAGGAGTAAACCCACGTAGCGAACGTGAAACGTTGAAGTTTTCAGTGTTTTGCAGCATTGAATTTTAATGTTCTTTTAACCTTCTGATCGTACATTTGGTTGAGTGACTGTTAATCCCGTTCATTTGATCCCTCCCCGCCAGTTGCGCCGCGAAATTGCTCATGCTTAGGTGCTTTCTATTCCTCGCAGCTTCTGTCAATACACACCAAGTCAAGCCACCCTAACTGCTCACCGTGTTCTCGTACTTGAGACGTAAGTTTACATGTTATCGCTTGCGAATAACATTTGAGTAGTGCCTCCCAGAGTTAACGTGACTGAGCGAGTCAGCTGTTCATCTTTCTCAGCTACTTTCGCATTCAGGTGGACCTTTACTAAACTTGTGTGTTAAAAAGGTTAACGCAGTAATTTTGTATTTTCGATTGTGCTGGCTTCTACCACCTAAGGAACCCCACACTCCACCAGCATCGTATTCATCCTCCAGACTGTTAATCAAGTTACGTTGTGGATTGCTCAGAACATCCTGAAACTGATAACCCAGTGCGATCGCCTTTCGTGTCTCAGATGCGCTACCGTTGTTCGGAAACACAAAGCGGAAAGCAGAGCCGATCTACAGTGCTTTCTGAATTGCTTGTTAAAGGTGGATAAGATCGGTATTCGGTTCGTCCACATCACTCGATAGTGATAACTGATGCTGCAATTCAGATTGACATTCCTGCCTAACAGACTACGAAGGCATTCGACGAATAAGGACCTTGGAAGAGAAAAGCTCAGTCAGTGAAAGAGTGGGCACTATGCGAGCGCGCACTAGGATGTAGTCAGAGCAGAAGAAAGTGTCCCATATCGACAATCTCGCACAGACGTGGGCCACAGCTGACGATGACGTGATCATTTTGAGTACAAAGTACGCGATCAATCGATAGTCACCAAGTAGCCAGGCGTCAATGCATGTGCTGAAAAGATGTGCTTTTGACGCAGATGTAGCGAGCGCATGCTGGATGAAAGCTGTCATCCGTGTCGGGGCGACATGCATCAATAAAGAGATGTTATGGTTCACGGTTCAGGTCGGTTGAACAAATATTATCCGAGTACCCAAGAGCAGTGGATCCATTTGCCAAAAAAAATTAAAATCACAAAGTCAAGTTAGTGGGGTTGAATACCAACAAAATTTAAAGAAATTGGAAGCAAGAAAGAAGTGCGTTGAATACAATAAGAATAGAATCAAAACTCAAGACAATATGCAAGGATAAACATCAACAACAGCAGTACATCAGCCATTTGAACTGATGCTTCGCTGACACAACCATGAGGACCCATGAAATAAGGAATAAGAAGAGGGAGAGAAGGGGAACTTAGCTGAAAACCTTAATGCCCCAAGCAAACATTCAGGGTCAAGGCGCCTACACCCTGTGAAGACAACATACCGTCACAAACAGCTAGCTATTGTACAAAGAAAAGGCGGCATCTGGAAGACAGCTTCCTAGCGGCTTTCACTGCCACGCGTCATAATCAATCATTACCTCGCAGATAACTCAGCACCAAACACACTTTAAACAGGCAATCCGATTAGGAGACGGCAGCACACGCGCCACTGGTGTCGGTTGCGAGCCATGTCCTGTAAAGTCTCGAGTCAAGCACAAGGCGAGTCACGTGGACTCCAGCTAGGAAGGCGAGACGGACCAACGGCACCCAATTTCGTCGTCAGTGACTTCATTTCCCGCTGCCAAGTCAACTTCTGTCCACCTCGAGCCTTGCGCCACCCTACACCTGGCAGACTAAACAAGGCCCTCCTAGGTAAGCGGTGACCAGGCATACGTAGCACGTACCCAAGCCAACGCAACTTATTCAGTGATAAGTGTTGTCCTAAGGAGCTAGCATGTTTACAAGTACCTAGCACTCGCGTATGCACTCCATCGTTGCGGACATGCTGGAGCCATCCGACACCAGCAATGCTTCGCATACAACGATGATCAAAGACTTGAAGGCGCCTCGGATCTTCAGACCGAAGGGGCCAAGTCTCACTCCCATAGAGCAGAACGGCCCTCACTGTGGCCTTGTATACACGGCCTTTCAGACGGAGGGAAACTCCCTTCTGTCGCCAAAGATGCCGCAGGTTCAAGAAGGTAGTTCTGGCTTTTGCAATGCGTGAACTGACTTCAGTTTCCAAGTGCCCATCGTTGCTGATGCAGCTGCCAAGGTAAGTGAATTGATCAACTACCTCGGGTTCCTCAACATCAAGGGGGCATCAAGTGGCTGGTGGTCCTGAAGCAACACTTTGCACTTTGAAGGTGCGAAGTGCATACCAAATAAGGGGACCACTCTTGACAGGCTATTCAGGGTTGATTGGGCGTCGGCAACATTGTCGAAAAGCAAGACGATATCTTCCGCATAATCTAGATCAACTATCTTTTCACATGACAGCACTTCAACGTCTACATCGTGAGATTTCGCAAGCGAACACTCCACGATAGAATCCATGACGAAGTTGAACAAAATTTGTGAAATCGGACAACCCTGACGAAAGCCACTTGTGGTCAAAAAGCTATCCGATAGGACACCGTAGACCCTGACGCGGCCTGTAGTGTTCGAGTACGGAGCACGAAGGATGTTCACATATTTCGTGGGAACACCTTACCGCTCACGTATTTCGAACAGAATCGATCGGTCGACTGAATCGAACGCACTCTTGAAATCGAGGAACACAGCTTTTGTCGGTCTGCGGTATGCGTGGCGCTGCTCTAGCATCTGCCGCATAGTGAATATATGGTCTTTACAGCCACTTCCGGGCAGGAAATCGGCCCGCTCTTCCTAACACGACATTCCCGTTCCGCTGTGAGGCGACGAACGTTAATCGAGGCCAGTAATTTTGTCACAACTGGCGTTAGGCTAATACCCCTGTGATTACGAACAGTCTGTGCAACTGCCCTTTTTGTATATTGCCACTATAATCGATTCGCTCCAATTATACCGCGACACTCTCTTCCTTCCAAATACGTCCGAATAGGGAGGTCTTTGCATTGCAGAGGACCTCACCTCCATCCTTAAATAGTGCAGGTGGGAGGGGATCCGGGCCAGCGTCACGAAAACGATTTAGGGCTGTGATCGCGTTTCGGACCTCGGCCTCCGACGGAGGCTGTAAACTAACCGTCCATGGCTCGTCCTGCATCACCTGAGTAGGAAGAGGTCCGAGAGCAGGGGGCCAGCTGAACTGATTTTCAAAGTTTTCAGCCCAACGAGCCATACGGCGCTCCTTATTGTGTATCAGCGCACCCGCGCTGTCCCTGATTGTCTCACTGA